TTAATTCCAAAGCCTTTGGATTTGCGGACTCACCTGTCGATACCTGGCTGTTCTCAGAAACGCACCTGACTGCTCCCGGGGAAAAAGTGTTCCGGGCCAATCTGAAAGAGGCCAAATCCCCATACAAATCCTTCGTTGGAGGGTCACCAGTCCCGGCTCGCTCCACTGTCTCTGATATCGGGCAATTCTCTGGGGTTGGAGTTTTGTCCAGGTTCCCGGTGCGCAGATTACCCCATGCCTGGCCCGAGCTGGCTTTTCGTTCAGGGCGTCTGGTCTGCACTTCAGTGTTTTGTCAAGGCATTTGGGTTTCTGGGGTTGTGATCTACGGTACTCCCACCGGCGGTACCCACTCTCAGGGGAAGGAAGTGACCAACCAACTTCTTGAATTGGCTCTGGATAGGGTTAACCAACTCTCTGGCCCACGGTTCCTTGCGGGGGATTGGAATCATGACCTGGATCGGTTGCCGGCAGTTGCTGTGATGCATCGCCTTGGTTTTTCTGATTGCCAAGATGTCAGGGCCAGCCAAACCGGCATATTGCCCCAGGCTACCTGTAGAGGCAAAACTCGAAGGGATTTCCTGTTCATGTCCAGGGAATTGGCCAATCATTTTGTCAGCTGTGAGGTGGACGAAGACACCGTCTCAGACCATGCTGCCTTGATTTGTCACTTTACCGGTGGAATCAACCCCCTGCGGTTTGCTTGGCCCCGTCCTGACCCTATGGCTTGGGAACCCCAGGATACCCGTCCCGTTGTGGCTGGTGTGTTCTTTCGTGAGGCCGCTGCGGTCACCGATGACTATGCCCAATTTTGGAAGGCCATTGAACAGTCCAATCAAGATGCTCGGCGACGACAACGCAAGACAGTTGTTAGGGCCATGACTGGTAGAGCTGCGGTTGTTGCCCCCCAGGTTCGTCTGATCCAGGTTCCACCCTTGAAGGCTAGCCGCCCTGGCGACCGCCAACCTGCTTTCTTGGGTTCTTGCTTGCAACACGTGCAGTGGACTAAACAGCTCAGACGGATCCAATCATATATCCGTCTGGCCCAAGCTCCCTTTCCCACGCGGTCACATGTGGTGCATCGTTTGCAGCTTTGGACTTCCATTCGGTCAGCCAGCGGGTTTGCTCCTTCCTTTTCTGTGTGGTGGTCCGAGAGGTGTCTTGGGGTTGGGGAACCACGTTGTGTGCCGGTTGAGCCGCCCTCTAGTGCTGTGGCCACTTTGTTCTACATTGGACTTGAGGTCGAATTGTCTGAACTTGAAGCCTGCCTCAAATCTGCCAGGTCCCATGCCAAACGGCTGCTGAAAGCCAATGATGCCCATGCCATTTATGGTGCGGTCAAACGTGACACTGCAGCCCAGGTTGACACCCTCGTTGAATCCACTTCAGGTACAGTTGCGGAGGTCGATCTTGAGGAGTGCGCGATTGTCTTGACCCACCCTGTCCACCTGCGTCCCGAAGTCCCACTGCTGTTTGACAATGGCATGCTCCAGATCATTCACCATGAGGAAGACAAGGTTTGGGTTGACAGTTGCCAAGGGGTCGTACCTGGAGTGCAAGTCTGGCAAAAGAAGTTGGTTGGCCGCATTGAAGACATTTTCCTCGCTTTTGAGTCCCAGTGGTCTCTGTTGTGGAATAAACATGCGGCTCTAGGTACTTCCCAATGGGATGATATCTTGCAATTTGCCACCCAGCATCTTCGCCCAGTTGCTGCATCTGCTCCTGCCATTACAGTTGACACGTTCTTGCGCACAGCTCGGAGGAAATCGAAGCACTCCGCTGTCAGCCTTGATGGAATCTCCCGTGCCGATATTCTGGCTCTCCATCCCTCGGAAGTTGCCACTTTGCTTCAAGTTTTCCGGCATGCCACCGAATCTGGCACCTGGCCTGACCAAACCCTTTTTGGATATGTTCGTTCATTGACCAAGGTCGGATCACCGGAAGAAGTTGGGCACTTCCGCCCAATTACAGTGTTCTCGTTCCTTTATCGGCTGTGGTCTTCCATTTCTGCAAAACACTGGTTGAAAGCGCTCAGCAAGGTTGTTGATCCTTACCTTTTCGGCAGCACCACGGGTGGCCGTGCATCCCAGGTTTGGCGCCATGTTCTGGAATCGGTCGAAGCTGCACACCGTGGACAGGATAATGCGTGTGGGTTTGTTGCTGACATAGTGAAGGCTTACAATGACCTTCCTCGCTTGCCGGCGCTGACCGCAGCCAAATTGCTCGGGGTTGATCATGGAACTTTGACCGCCTGGGCTGGAGCACTGGCTGGCTTTCGTAGGCACTTTGTGATCCAAGGATCGTACTCCCCAGGCATCTACTCCACCAACGGATTTCCTGAAGGTTGTGCCATGTCCTGTGTCGCTATGGTAGTCCTTACTGACCTCTTCCACAAGTGGATCCGAGCTGCCGGTGTCATGTACCGTCCAGTGTCGTATGTCGATAATTGGGCCATCATCATGCAATCCCCCGAGCACATGCAACAAGCTTGCCAGGCAGTCGACCGTTTTGCCTCCATGTTGCAAATCCGTTTGGATGCCCGCAAGAGCTTTACTTGGTCCACCGACAGACAAGGGCGAAAAGACCTGAGGGCTGGGGGATTCCGTGTCCTTCACTCGGCCCGTGACCTTGGGGCTCATGTTGTGTACACCTGCCAACTGGCCAATGGAACTACCCTGGAACGTTTCAAGGGCTTGGAGGATTTCTGGTCCAAACTTAAAGTGGCCACATGCACCCTCCAGCAAAAGGTCACCCTGACCATTCGAGCGGCGTGGCCTCGAGCCATGCATGCAGTTTCTGCAGTTGTGGTGGGCAAGAAACATTTCGAAGGGCTTCGCACTTCCCTCATGAATGCCTTGAATCTCCAAAAGCCAGGCTCTAGTCCCGACCTACAATGTTGCCTTGAGCGTTTGGGTGTTGACCCGCAAGTCTATGCTGCCTTGGAAACCGTTCGAGACGCTCGCGGCTTGAGCAGCCATGCTAAAGTTGCCATTGACTTAGAGCAAGGCCCATTGTGTCATGAAAGCCCTACGTTCAACTCACTGTCCGAAATCTTGTGCCAGCCGCTGCATCAACTGGGGTTCCTTCTCGGTCCAAATGCCACTGCCCAAGACTCCATTGGGGTTTTCCCATTTCTGAAGTGTGGTCTCAGTGAATTGTTGTTTCGTCGTCAGCTTGCGTGGACTTTTGTGGTTGCGTCCAGGGTCGCTCACCGTGCATCCTTTGCAGATTTTGCCCAGGTTGATGTCCGTCACACCAGACAGGATTACCTTGCAGCCTCAGGTTTTGACCAGGGTGTCTTGCGCAAATACCTCAATGGGGCCAGTTTTACCAATGCGCACGCCTATCGATGGTCGGTCACTGGTAATGACAAATGCCTCCTTTGCGGTCATGCAGACTCCAGTTGGCATCGTCTGTGGGATTGTCCTGCGTCTGCCGGCCTTAGGTCAGGGTTACCCGTTGGTTTCTTGGACTCCATTTCCCAGCTTCCTCTGGTCGTTTCCGTTCATGGTTGGACTTTGCGTTCTCCTGTTGCCGTGCAGTGGTGGCAGTACTTGGATGGACTTGCTCGGGAACCTCCGTTGCCTGAAATTGCCCCACCGTTCCCCATCCTCGACCTTTTCACGGATGGCAGTTGCCTCTTTCCAACTGACCCAGACTGCAGAGTGGCTGCTTTCTCGGTTATCCATGCCGCCCCTTTCAGCTTGGACTACCAACAGCAGTGCTTCCGCCCCTTGGTTGCTCAACCTCTTGCCGGAGTGATTCAATCAGCGTTCCGGGCAGAATTGCAAGCAGTCGTAGTTGCATTGCGCATTGCTCAAAAGTTCAAAGTTTGGGTCCGAATCTGGAGCGACAGCGGTAGCGTCATTTCTCTTTTTCAGAAGCATGTGATCGATGGGGTTCCAGTGAATTACAACAGCAAACACGCAGACTTGCTTCATGAACTGGTGGGACTTGCCTGCGAAATCGGTCCTCAGAAAATTGCCCTGTTGAAGGTCCCAGCTCACGAGAACAAGGACTTCTATGACACGGAGTTGGAACACTGGCTCCTGGATGGCAACTCTGCAGCCGATCATGCGGCTCGATGGGCCAATCAGGCCCGACCACCCAGCGTGTGGCAACTTTGGAATGATCACGTCCAGGCTCTTCACACCAATCGCCATACGGCTTCGACGATTCGGCGGCACATGATTCAAGTTGGCCGACTTTGGAAAAACTCCCCTGGAGCAGCTCCCCATCAGGTTTCTGACCCCTTGGTTTTGCGAGCGCCCCGCCCAGCCCGAGTTCAGCCGGCCCTTAGTTGGTCTTCTGCCGAGCCAATTGTCTTGTGCAAGCCTGGATTCAACCGCCTTTTCAGCACCGCCTTGGCTTCCGATGTACAGCGATGGATTTCGAGCATCCGTGATCCGGCGGCACCACTTCGGTGGATCTCGTTCATCCATCTCTTCGTCAGTTTCTTGCGTAGGTGCGGCCCTGTCGACATTTCAAAGGTAGATGGACAGTGGCAAATTCAGCGTGGCGAGGTTGCGAGATTGGGGAACCATGTCAAGTTTACCCTGAGGGCCAAGTGGTTCAGACTCATGTTGCCGCAGTTTCTTAGGGATAGCAATGTTGAGTTTGTCACGGCTACGGTTCGCCCTTTTTCTCAATGGGTCTGCTGCTTCAAGGGTGCCATTGGGTTCCATTTTTGTCCCAACGAATTTCAGTTTGTGGAGGGTGTCATTGGCCAACAACTGGGTTCCCCCGCTACAGGGACCGGCAGGACGTTGGAGGGTTTGAGGGGTTGAGCTCCGGTTGCAAAGGCAGCCGACGTTGCTCCCCCAGCGCGGCAGCTTGGCACCCAGAGCAAAAAAAAGAACATTTTTTATTTTCCATAAGATATGGGATGTCATCCTTCCCATTGACTTTCATATTTTTCAAGATGGTTATTGCACCACCAACCAGTATTTGTGGATGGAGTAACGGAACCCGACATGGAACGACATCAAATCAACAGCTATCAGGGCGATTTGCGGCAAACCAATTTCAAGGAATACATGGACAGTCTGAAGATCTGTGCCTTGGGCAGCGTCATGATGCTTTTGATATGGCATGATATGGCAACCCAAAAATGAGGTACTATTTCTGCAACAACCCGTACGGGTGTATAGTGGGTGTATATATAGTGGGTGTATAGTGGGTGTATAGTGGGTGTATAGTGGGATAGAATGCGGGTATTTTGAAAGATTTTTGAAGCAACCATGTGGGTGTATGGTTGGTGTTCAGTGATGTATAGTGTATGCATACCCTTTGGCAATCAAACATAGCAATTGGAAATCCACCATTTACAGGGAGTTTCCATTGCCGCGTTTGATTACCAGAGGGTGTGTGTATATATATATATGTGTATATGTATATATACAGCTGTATATATTATATATAAATGTGTGCGTGTGTGTTTTACTTATTGGAAGGAAGTTTATGGATCTTTTGTCATAGATGAAAGTGTTCACAAAGCAGTGGAACATGTTTTCACGCTTTCTTTCTCCGCAGGGTATACAAGAGATTTGCTATAAACGTGGATCTTAACGGAGCATGCATGTACTAAGCTTAATATTTTCTGCAGGGTTTCCAGGGTATCCCGGCGATTGGGGCACCATCTTATACCCCATAGGATCCATGTATGGTATATATGCTAACATTGGGGGTATATTGATGGTAAATGTTACCATATATAGCATACATGGATCCTATGGGTACTGGGCTGCTCCTCATAGTTCGCGTGGCATATCTCAGGTGCTTTGGGTGTGAAACCGAAGTACGTCGCCACTGGGCTCAAATATGGCCATGCGGTGGATGGTGTCCACTGATGCCCAGTGATATGACATAGCATTGTGCTGGACTATATGACAATTCTTGATGAAACAATGAGACAAACCATCTATAGTTGAAAATTGTCCCATTGTCATTGTGCTGATGGTTTGACTAGATCAACTATTTGAACATGGTGATGTGGTATCGCTATTCAGAACCATCAAACACACGCAGGAAATAGTCAAAAATGGTCATACCAAATCAATCCAAATCATACTACCACTAGTTACCAAATCAACATATAACACAGTGATATGGGAAATAATGAGCCCCGGGCAATGATCCGTCAATTTCATTATAATTGGGATATAAAATGGATATCAGTGCATATTACTACCTAGACCCTCCCAGTACCTAGGAACATTGGGTAATATAGTCACTATATAAACATGTTGTGATTTGGGACTTTTTTACGAATTTTATCGGGGCCATCCAGTGGTCGACGGTCTAAGTGGATGAGGAAAACCATAAAATTGCGTTCCGTTCGGACAATGATCTACATAAACCCGTTGGGTTTTCCATAAATCAATGTATGAACTTCAATTTTTGCCCAAAATCTTGCGGAAAAAAGTACAAGGAAACCATAGGAAACCCATGTGGGGGGTAATCCCTAAGTTTTTTTGTTGCAATGTGACTGATAGGTTCCCATTTGATTTCAATCATCGAGGAGCTTAGTTGGGTCCCATCCAACTCACCAATGTGTCACTGTGAATCTCATGTCCTCTGGAAAATGAATGAAGATTATACCCTCTGGTAAACTAACATAGCCATGGAAAATCATCATTTTTAATAGGTAAACACAGGTAAACCATCTATAAATGGGCCATTTTCATCCATTTTCCATGGCTATGTTAAATAATTAACCAGAGGGTAACTTAAATTAAAGCTAAAACAATCTAAAACATACTAAGTCTACACTAAATCTTTCACAAGCAGTCCACATTTCACCATCATGTCACCATGTCACCATCATTTCTGGAAAACTTGGTGTTTTTCCAATGTAAAAAAAACAGTGATTTCCGGGCACTGGGCCGTCCCAAAGGATCGCGCGATGACAACCTTGCGACTGCTGCTGGCGGTGCTGACAAGCTCGGTGCGGACACCAGCGGTGAATGGGGAATGGATCAATGGAAACATGACCCTTTGTTAATGATTATGTGGTCGTAATGGTCATAATTATAACAATAATGGACCTATATAGATTTATAGGGATTTATTGGATTTTATGTGTTATTTTCCTATTGATAATGACTATTTGGTATTTGGTCATAATTGTGATATTAATTGATATTATAATCGTGGATTTGTTGGTTCTTTTCCTACTACATGCTAAGAATGATTATTCGGGGATGGAATAGTGATATTGTAATAATGAATTTCTTGGATTTTATTGGTTATACTACTACATTAGTGTTTAATCATGGGTTTATTGGTTATTGTCTTAGTACATGATAACTCATTATAATAAGGAGCTTTTGGACAATGACATGTGACATGTGATGACGTGTGACGTGTGTTTGACAGGTCGAATCATAACCATTCACCATCACAACTAGGGGATTACCGCTTTGGAGATGTGCCATGAATTCCATAGCTATGTTAACTAACCAGAGGGTAACGATAGGGAAATCATGTGGGGGATATGAATTGGGGGAATTAAGTTGGAGAGTATACTTGAGATATGATTTATGCGGGACTAAAAGCAGTAATTAAGATTTCAAATATAAGTGATTGACTACTTAATATGGCTCGAAAAATGCAATTGAACAAAAAGCAAATGAAATTAATGGGCTGACACTGTAACTGAATTGAAACACCAATGTATGGGCCTATAATGGAAATTTAAGAAACATCAACTTTAAAACATTGGTGGAAGAATCAATCAGGAATGCTCGCATCCATTGTAGGAAATTATAGCCACAAGGGAAGAATTGGATAAACATGGTACTTTTACTCTGTTTAGTCATTTTTATCTAGCCATTCATATCAAACCAATACTATTGAGCCGTTCAAAAAATACTATTCAAAAAATAGGCATGTTTTTTCGCCGTTCAGGCCCCAGTGTTCCTGTTGATTCTCCATCCCTTGAAGGATTTTCTACATCCAGAAACCTAAGCCAAAGCCTTTGGTGGTCACGGTTTGCAAAGTGGAAAACCACATGGAAAACCACCGGTAAATCCATGGAAATTATTAGCCATAGGATCCTAGCGGTGCTGCTATATATGGTAACATGATGTAACATGGATCCCATCAATATACCCCCTTTATGTTAGCATATATATATATATACCAGCACCATGGATCCCATGGGTTATAGTCTACTTTCAGGTGCCTTTCCATATAGCTATATAGTTTTTTATGGTAATATGGTAAAACTTTCCCTGTTCCTGCAGAAGATAACGTATGGTTAACTTATCATGGGCCTATGCTGAATTGTTTCTTATGTTATTCTTATGGTAAACTTTCATGGTCCTAAGGTTGACCGAAATCGCCCCCTGGATGCTGCAGGCATTGCAGCAGAAGAAAGTCGGACATTTTCGCGAGTGCCTCGCGCTCGTTGGGCTCCCAGGTGTGAAAATAATGGGGGAATCACCCTGCATGGCCTTTGTCTTTTCAGGCTGGTTGGTGAATTCATATGCATATATATATATATATATATATATGTAATGATATATTATATAATACGTCTGGAACATCCCAAGTTCCATAGTTTCACTCCTATAAAAGCACTACTTGGGATGCAAACAACAACTAGCGACCATGCCTTGCGTGGGTTTGTGGGTTTGTGGGTTTGTGGGTTCCTCATCCCGTATCAGGCAAGCCTCACAGTAGGGCTCAATACCATTGCTGGTTGATGGTGCTGAGGGATCCTTAAACCTCGATGGCACAGCGAGCATCAGCCGTTGACAGATCTCCAACTTGTGAGGTCTTCGATGTATAGCTTGTCATTCTAAAGCCTATACCTAGACCTTAGCAAAAATTAGGCAACAAACAAACAATATATGCGGATATGTGTGAATATGTGCAGGCTTGTTTCTTCCTTTGCCCAGTTTTTTTGGATAGTTGGAGGGTCTCAGCATATCTTCAGGCCTCGGAGTGGAGAAGCTTGACCAATCAGTCGGCGCCTCAGGGAAAAAGATGCCAATTTTCAGGGTGCCTGGTTCTGGTGTACCGGGGATTTTTTTGTCTAAAACACCTAGGCAAAACGACTGGGATTGTTGGAGAATTATTGTTGGTGGATCACCCATTTTTCATGGAAAAATTAGGAGGCCATATTATCTATTGGATGAAAACATCGGCTGAAACCCAAACCAGGAGACCCTTCACAAACTTGGTCCCTGCCAGGCCCAAGCTTTGCAAACCCAACAAGATGGTCGATTGGATCGACCGACTGCTAGTGGTTGGGGCCCCAGAATCGGCATTTTTCGGCGGTTTTATACAGATTTCTGGCATTGGGGTTGCCACAGAAGTGCTAAGAAGTGCTTGTATTTTTGGAGTTGTAAGATTGGTCACGACTGGGGACGCTGGGTGGGTGCGTCCTAGTTTTTGGTAAAAATTCTGGACCCAAAGTGACTCACAAAAGAGGTCTGCTCAGATGCTTGCCACTTTCAACTTTGGGATATAGTACGGATATAGACCCACTTTGTTCAAGCGTAGTCGCGCGTGTTAGAAAAGGATACATGGTCATATTTGCAGGGCTGATATCGCAACCTATGGATGGAGAATTGCAACAGCTATGCCTTTTGATGCCCAATGTTAGTTGCTTACCCTCTGCTAGTTAATCAGTTTGTGAACTGGAAAATCACCAGTGATATATATATATATATATCATATGGTAATACTCAAACATACTCAAACAAAACAATATTTACTGTAATATTTAAGAGGAATAATTATTTTAAAAGAAGGTATGTCTTATTAAAAAATGCATGAAAAAAATCGGTAAATCGTCGAACTACGGCCATGGTTTCCAAACAGCTTTCCCTGAGATCAGGATTGGATGCTGAACACGGTGAAAGATGATGCTCGCTACCCCACGATTCAATGGGCATTCCGCGAGCCCTTGTTTGAGTGCCTCAGCCAAGTCGTCACCGAGCATGTTCATACCGACGTTCCAAGTATCTAGAAAAAAACATGAAAATCATGAGGTAGCAAAAAACCATAATTGTGGGACGCTTAGCTGTGAAATGACTTGAAACTTTGGTCTGGGTAAATTGTAAAATCCATCCCCCGTGATCTAAGATACTACCCAAACAAAACCCTGGATTCATTTTGAGGGCCGGGGGTGTATTGACAGATCGGGGGATGGGTATACAACGACTGGCACGATCCAGGATGAATCATTTGCAGGATGCTTTCCTCATCCCGGGTTGAACTTTTTGTGTCAACTGGGCTTTGGGTGTCCCTGAAATCCAAGCAGTGACCTTCCATAGGCCTTAAATCTGCCTTGAGGGAATGTACCTTCATCAACACCCCCCTTGTTGTGGAAGTCATTTCAGGTGATGTTTCATACCCCAAATTGGGACACGCAGGGCTATTCAGGCCTATGATGGGCTGGAGAATTTCATATACATCTAAATCTAAATTCAATTCTTTTTGTTTTCCATTCATATTGATCATATTCATTGATTCTAGCATCCTGATTCAATAAGTGGTATAAAATTCTACTGGTTGCTCCTATCATTCAACGACTGTCGTATGCTTTCGCAAAAGGCTTGGACGACTTGGCTCCCAGGTACTTGGGAACATTGGCCCAGGAGGCTCATCGACCCTCCTGGGATGCCTGGAAGAATCGTCCTGACGAAGAAACTGAGTTTTCAGAGGGGTAGGGCTCAACCACCAACCAGATTAATATACATTAAATGGTGTTATATGAAATGATGTAATCATATGGTATTAATATACATATGGTATCATTATATTAATGAAATGTTTAATGATATATAATGTAAATGGTATTAGTATGTATTAACCATTTCATTGATATAATGAACCATCATTCATGTTTATTAACCATTAGTTTAGACTTTTTTAACAATTTGTTGCTTGGGTAGGTCTACCCAGATTGAAAACGGACTTTCGCCGTTTTTTGCTGGGTACTTGGGTCTAACTTGACTTGATTAATGATGTCGGCAAATATTGCTGGGCAATGGGATCAGGGAAGGGTCAGCAATGGCAATAGCTGGCTGGCTTCTACTCAACCAATGTTTTTGGATGTTTTAGTGTGATTATGTGTGATTGTTTATTTTGCATATGCCTTCAGAAGTTAAACCATGTTAAAACCTGATCATTACATCATTTCTACAAAAAATAAGAACACTTTTAATGAATGGGGGAATCATTGCAGCTTGATGGGTTGCTAGTTGCGGCCAGATTTCTTATGTTTCACAGGATCCGCCACTTCCTATGCCCAGCAGCGGCCCTTCGATGACTTTCATACTTGTTGGTCCGTCAAAATATGGCATTACCTTCAAATATGCAGCATACATCTCAACAGATGTTAATAAAGGAAAACACATCTCCACCATGGGTGAGTTGGGATTCCTGCAAATTTTGGACAATTGTCTCCAATGCTTGGTTACTGTTCCCATGAATTGTGCAGGAAAAATCTGAGGCATGGCGGCATGACATGACATCACCTTTTTTTTGGCCGGTTTTGTTCCAGGACCCAGGAGTTTGCTATGGATTGACCCTGATCTACAAGGATGTGCTTCTTGTCACAACTGGTGGTAGGTTGCCCTCCACTACGATGGAGATGGAAAACCAATGGTTTCAGTTGCTGTGGGGAATGTCATATGATGTCATATTTTTTTGTTTGGGATATCCAGCTCACAATCATATTTCCTGGCTTCGGTGGTCTATGTTTCTCTTCATTGGCTATTTGGAGTACGGCAGTGGATCGGAGGTGGTCTAGGTGCGTGAAGTGGCACCGAGCTCATTTGGAGATGAAACAAAAACCCTCCGGTAATTTGGACATAGCTATTGAAAATGGCCATAGTTTTAGTTGATTTACCCAGCTATAACATGGTGATTTTCCATAGTGATGTTAATTTACCGCTATAGATGGGAATTTCGGAATACCACTAAGGGAATATCACTAAGGGAGACTATATATATATATAGGCTCGGTATCATTTACCCCCCGACAATGAAACGTGGCGTACGATGATTTTCCAAAAAATGACCAGCCATTGATGGGGAATTCCCAGCCAAAAATCCATGGATTTATCTGAGGGTAGTAGGTGGTAGGCCAATTTGGCACAGAAATTCCTTGGAAAAAGATTGAAGTGGATGAAATATGATAAAATCCTAATAGTCATGAATTGCGTTTTCTTAATCTTTTGGTGTTGGAACAGAATGAGCGGGTCCATATGGGTCATTGGCGACTACCAGGTGTGACCCCAAAAAGACTACCGCCATTGACCACCCCAAAAGTGACACGAATCTGCGGGGAATCATTGGGAAGACTTCTAAAGATCGTAGCGATCCTATTGCTAATACGGGCCAGAATTAGTTAGTGCCTGGGGCCCAAAAATGTATCAGTTGACCCCCCAAGTACCTTGAAAAGTCGGGTGAAATAGCAATATCACCCATGCATACCCATGAAAAATATAATATACACCATCTGGTTATTTAACATAGCCATGAAAAATCACCATTTTTAATAGGCAAACCTCTATAAATGGGTCATTTCCCATGGCTATGTGAAATAACCAGAGGGTAACTCATCATATACCCATGATTTAAGACTTTCAGCATTGAATCATGGAAGTCCTTATTCTTGACCAACCGCCATCCTGGCTTCCCTTAAGGTACTATGGCTTTGCGAATGCTCGCGAAGAGTTCAGATTCATCCGGGACAAGGTCGAGAGGGTCGAGGAACTGGTCTTCCCAAGTATATAGTGAACTTGTTGACAGTTTAGTAGTTCAGTTAGTTTAATTCTGCTGTGGGATGTTAATTTTTGGGACACACTTTGTGCGGATGCTGCGGTGGATTGTTCATCAGAACCGGGAGTCTTGGAGTTGTGGATCTGAAGACAGGTTTATGGCTGATTTGTTTATTCGTTTTGAGGAAGGCTCATACCTAAATGCCACAAGGGCATTCCCTTTCTTGACGAACACCCACCCAGAATCTGCCAGAAACCCTGGTAGAGTACTGGATCTCTTTATTTGCGGCCACACCGGTGGGTCGTGTTTGAGGATCAAGAGTTTTTTGACCCACCTGGATCAGCTGTGTCGAAGCGTAACTGAAATCCCCTTGTTTCCAATCCATTGGTACTAAGGATGAAGTCCTGGCCTAGAGTCAAGTGCTTGGTAGGCAGCGGTTTCCCTCGGATTCCCTCGGCCAAGTGTGAAAAATCCAGCGCCCCGAAGAGGTCTTTGCTGGCCGGTGCTTCAAGAACTCCCTCTATGACTGGTCCAAAGACATCGCAGGTGGACGTTGGTTTTTCAGCAGCGGCCAAGGTATTTGTTTCATTGGATTGGTTTTTTTGTTAAAATCTTAACCGGAAACCATGGTTTTTACCATCAAATATGGGGGGTTCCTGTACTGTAAATTGTCCCTTAAACAAATCCAATGTTTGTGGGTTGATGATGATCATCCATTGAATCCATGCCAATCCCAAGCAGTGCCAGTCAATCTGAAGCAGCCACAATCACCAGGTGGCCATAGGTGACCAGCGATTTCACAACATGAATAGTGTGGTAAACTGCCATAGACATCCATAGTCACCATGCCCAAGTCATCACCATGTTTTAAGGCTGGTATGTGTACCATCCCCCCCAAAGAGAAGGTCCTAATGGCAGCCTGGCTTTCCCACGTCGACATGTGCATCCCTGGGCCTTCAGGGATCTATGCTCCCTTGCTGATCAACAAAGAGTACCTTCACCAGGTAGGACACGGCTGAGATTTTTTTCGGGACACCAAGACTGGACGATTTTGGCTGGGATTTTTTGGGATGATTTTGGTACGTACCTCAAATTCGAGTATGGAAAATGACCACCAATTTAACTTTGGAGGGGTGCCCCATTTCATGCCAATTCTGACCAAGAACAGTTGGAGATCATCCAACATATGCTGAAACATGGTGAAATTTCCTCGGGCCCCGGGGCATATTTTTTGACCATCCGTAGATGTCGTTTTCCCACTGCGTAGTTGTTGAATAGAGGGTGGGATTTTCTTTGCGATAGTACAGCTATAACCATCCTGGAGGTGTACCAGTGAAATCTGACCATCCCATAATATGGGAATAATATGTGGTAAATCCTTGTCATACATTCAAGATTCCATCCATTTCCATCCCCAAGTTTGCCAGAAATGGTTGGTAATGGCAGGTAAATAACCATCCTCAAATTTGTGGTTTATGCTTGGGTTTGCCACATTACATGAATAATATTTACATATGATCTAAAAGACTCTTCAAGATAACAAACTAAGGGGATAGTCTTTCCACCTCAGAATGGTTGTGAGGAAGCACCTCCCCTAGGAAAACCTTTCTTTGTTACTCACTTCTCTTGCTGCTATCACAGCAATGTTGCATTTACCCTCCAGTAATTCAACATAACTATTGAAGCCATGGCTAAAGTGATGGGCCATTCACCCTAGTTACTTCAAATGCAGATTTTCCGCATAGAGAACTGGTAACATCACATTAAATTATGTGATTTTCCACCTCCATGCGAGTCATGACCCCGGCCAGTACTATGAAGAGTGCGGCTTGGCGGCCGCGTGCCGAGTACCACCTGAGGAGGGGGTCATGAGACCCTGTGTTTTTTGTGGTCGTGGGAAAGTGTGCTAAACCATGGGAAACCTGGAGGACAAGAAAAACTGGAGGAAACATCATTGAACAAAGATCCTGGAAGCACTTTTCAGCATCTTTTTTCAGGGAAAAAAGGTCACCTGGGAAGATGCTGGGGCTTCCCACCTAGAAAGATGGGTCAATCTATCCAAGGGGGAAATTGTTAGCCCGTATTTGATCACAAAGATGTAGTTTTTTTTTGCCCAGAAACACACGTTTAACTAGAAAGATGCGGATCTATCTATTGAAGATATTGATTTGACCGGAGAGATATGGATACCATGGAAGGGATGGCTTTGTCCAGAAACGGCGAAAAATGGAGATTCAGTATATTCAATATATCATGACATCGTGAGTATGTCCCCCATTCAACTTACAATGTTCCCCATTTATTGCGCAATTTTTGGACATCCCCTATTTCTGAACGAACCCAGAACATATATTTTGTTGTCTCCATCCTCTTCTATTACCGTAAAATGATTGTGTTCAATCCACATGTTTGTTGGATCTATCTTCATTATTAATATGTGTATTTCCACGGTTAATAGCTTAATAGTGTTTTAGCCCATACAACGGTTTTTGTAGTCCCCATTCTTATGGGGGATAGATCCCGCAGCTAGATCTCTAAAACTACCCATTGAGGTTATCATCTATCCCTTCAAGTTGTTGATGGTTTATGGACAATTATCGGCATGCATAGAAGGTGGTGCCCCAGTTCGCTAGCTAAGTTGGTTTATACTCTATACCTGGGGATGTTTATGGTAGATTCTGGTATCATGGTCATGTTGGTCAGCCCCCCTCTTGCACCCCCCTCAGACTGCTTGTTGGCAGCAAAGATTACCCTCTGGTAAATTAACATAACTATGGAAAATCACAATTTTTAATGGGAAAATCCACTATAAATCACCATTTTCAATAGCTATTTTTGACATAACCAGAGGGTAATAGCAGGTTATTAATGTGTTCTGTTCCAGTTTGGATGTGCACATTGGAGACAGTGCGTAGACAACCATGGGCATGAGTTTTCTTATTAGCTGGTGATTAGGGGAGTCTGCAATTGAAGATTTGACCTGCAATTGATTTATTGGTGCCAGCAAGCAGTCCGATGGGGGGCACATGCTGGGGGGGGGGCAGCCAGCATTCCGATTCCCATGTTTTTTGTTGATTCCCAATGATTGTTTGAACTTCAAACCATAGTGTGTGAGTTTGAACTTCAAAACCTTAAACTACCATCTATTAGTGGTTTCAAGCAGCTCGTGGAAAGTGGAGTTATTAACTGATTTCCCACCTAAAATCCTTAATGGCCATCTATTAGTGGTTTCAAGCAGCTCGTGGAAAGTGGTATTATTTTGGCAGCACCACAATCTGAAATCTTTAATAGCCATCTATTACTGATTTCAAGGGGAAACATATAAAATTCGCAGTTCTAAATGGCAAAATATCTGTTCATAAGCTGTCAATAGCTGGTTATTTTTTTTTGTATCAACAAATAGTGGTGTATTAGCTTGTTTATAAGCTGGTAATAAATGGCAATAAGGGTTTATTAATCTTCAATGCTTGTTGCAACCGTATTTTCTTCAGTTTTTTTTTGGGGGGGGTGCAAGAAGGGGGGGGCTGATCACCAGGACCATGATGGTAGATGTTTATGGTACC